TTGGTATACATAGTACAAATTAATTTAGTTAAGTCATCATCAACAGTAATATTTCACACTTATATAAATATCTAAATCTCTCTCATTCTGATGCATCTGAATTGTTACACATTGTATATTATTTATTAAATAATTTAAAAATTAATATTATATATAAAATATTAATATAATATTTTTTAAACAATTAAAAGATAAGAGTAAAAAATTGGGTGTTTATAATATATGATAAAACATCAAGAGGTGTTTATATTTTTTTAAAATATAAGTTTGAATACATTTTCTCAAGCACGGCTTAATTTTTTGTCCAAAAAAAATGTGCGTCTTATTCTTATTTTAATTTTTTAAAATTTATTAACCATGCCTTCCTTTTAGTTTTCATTTCTTTTAATTTATATATTAGATTTTTTCACAAATTCACTCCTGAATTATAAAAAAATAAAATAAAATAAAATTGAACCTTTAAGAATTTTCCTTCTTTCATTAATATTCCATTCCCTTTAACGATACACGTTTTCTTTCCATTCCATATCAAATTGAGATTTTTTATTTTAATAATAAAATTTATAATTAATTATAGTTATCTTATAGGATAATTATTAATAAATTACCATTTAAATAAAATTAGAAATTAATATATAAATAGATTAATTGAAATAGTAAAGTTTTATTAACTAAAAAATTGCAACCAGCATATGATTAGTTATTCTCCATATTAGGGTGTCCTGCTATTCTTTTATTTTGCAGAGTTTCTTTATTAACATGATGTTTCCTGTTATTCTGACTCAAAAATTGTCTCATGTTTTTATGCACATTCTCATTTAAATTAAATATGATGGAGATAGTGCTTAAGAGATTTTGTGATTATCAAGTTGAGTATCCTGTAACTATTAAACTAGCATAATAACGTGTAATTCTGGAAAATTTCATGCACTGCACAAGTCTTATTCATACGGTGACTTGTACACATTAATTTCCTTTGCAATTAAACAAATTGTACGTATGTGGATTGGGTAGATACATAACCTCGCAAAAGAACTAAATGTGTACCACAAATAATTCGCACGATTTTAAAATATTTTAAAATTGGTTTAGAGAAAATCAATTAAAAAGTGATTTGATAATATTTTTTTTTAAATAATATCACAACTTTTAAAATTAGTTAAACTTTAACTAATTTTAAAGGGTTTCTTTGGTATTATTTTGAAGATTGATTATTTAAGAAATGATTTTTTTTATATAGTATATAAAACCAGTTCTTAAATGTTTGATTATAAAAGATCTCTCTTGGTACTAGTTTTAAGATTGATTATTTAAAAATCAATTTTGTATGTAGTATACAAAATCGATTCTTAGATAATCAATCTTAAATAAACTTTAACTAAATAAAGGAAGAGACATTGGTTCTTTCCTCGAGCATGTGTTTCCTCTCTTTCCTCTCATACCTTCTTCTCAACTCTATCATCATCTCACCTCCACCATTTTGTCTCATGTTACCTTATATCATTGGGCTTAACATAAGACATGGTGAAGCTTGTGAAGTAGGTCTCACTCTCATGATGATGACGATGGTAACAGCAATGATAACATTATTGTCACCATTATCATTATCTTTATCTTTATCATTATTATTATCACTATAGTTGTCATTGTCTTTATTGTCACCACTATCGTAAACTATGATGCTGATGACATTTATGATGATAGTGATTGTGGCAGTTAATGATTGTGATGTTGATAGTTGTGAAGAGATAATAACAATAATCTTATAAGGAAATATTTTATAATTAAATTTTAATCTTAATTGTTAATTACTTTTATCAATAATCTAAAATTTATGATTTATTCATCTCATCTTTCATAATAAAATGTATTCTCATTGAATATGTTCTCTCTCTATATATATATATTATTTATAATAAATATTGTTATAAATTATTTTATACATACCAAGAAAAATTAATAAATAAATAAATTATAATTTTATAAAATTAATCTTGTTATTAATCTTATTTACTAGAAACAAACAACTGTCTAATAAATATTATTAGAGGTATAATTAGAAAATAGGTAATTAATGTTACTTTAAAATGTTAAAATGACATTTGAGACTTAATTTTTCTTTTTATACAACAATTATTATGGGAGGAAGAGAGTATTATATAAGTTATTATATTATCTTTTATCCTCATTATAAGATATTTATAATAGAACCACATAGACTAATATAACGAAAATAATTGTTTCAGTTGATTTTAAAAAAAAATTACAATGTATCAATTTTACTTTTATTATTTATCATTAAATTTTCATGAAAGAGGTAGAAATATCACTACCTCCATTTATTTTTACCTGTCTTTTAAGATTTTTATGATTAAACCGAGAAATGCAACAAATTTTCTTGATCTCAATATATAGAATAATTAAAATCTTTCTAATTCCAACCTTTTTTTATTTCTACTCTAAAATAAATGCATACTAATTTTTCTCAATATATATATATATATATATATATATAGAGAGAGAGAGAGAGAGAGTGAGAGAGAGAGAGAGAGAGAGGAGGGTTCAAAATATACTAAAATATGAACACTTTGATTACTTTAAGTTGTTGTTTAATTTTAACAAAATTTGATATATATGATATATGAACTTTTAATCTAACGGTTGGATTTTCAAAATTTACATTTAATATAAAGTTATTGAGCAGTGTAACACTTAGTAAAAGTTACACCGGTATTGTTTGAATCCTCCTCATATATATATATATATATATATATATAT